CACTGCTGGAGAAGAGGCTCAGTGAATCAAAAACAAGTTGCTGGGGCAAGAAAAATCTTTATTTGGAATGCCAGCAAAATGAGAGAATGGCAGGTAAGGACAGGAGGCCAGCAACCTGGGAAAAACCCATCTTGAATCAATGTTAAGTCTCAAGCACCTCTTATCCTTAGTTGAGGGGGAAGAAGAGAGACTTAGATTAGGAAAGGGCAGATGAGTAGAGACTTTCAGGCCTCTCTCCATTGGTCTGGAATGGGACATTGTGAAACCTGGTGGTTGGAACACACAAATTGCAAGGTTGTGATGTCCCTGCAAACCTTGAAAAAATCTATTATTCTTATCTTGCTGTCTTTAGCCTTGAAAGGGGAGAAGAGAGATTAGGTAAGTTTAGGGAAAATCAGATTTATTTTACCAGTCCTAGACAAACATTCCCTAAATTATTAATGTGCCTATATGCAGAGTTGAACAGAAATCTGTCCCAAAGATTAAGGTACCAAGGGCTGGCAGAGAGGCTCAAGTGATAGAGTGTTGGCCTAGCAAGTATGAAGCGCTGAGCTCAAACCCTAGTACCATCAAAAAAAAAAAATTTCAAGTGGCGAAGGAGACAGATACAATATAGAAGCAGAGTTGGAGGTGTGGCTCAAGTGGTAGAGCACCTGCCTAGCAAGTGCAAGGCCCTCAATATACATTCTTCTCAGCAGCCCACGGAACCTTCTCCAAAATAGATCATATCCTAGGGCACAAAGCAAGCCTCAGCAAATATAAGAAAATAGAAATTATACCATGCATTCTATCTGATCACAATGCAACAAAACTAGAACTCAACAACAAAGACAAAACACACGCAAACAGCTGGAAACTAAATAACTCATTGCTTAATGAACAATGGGTCATTGATGAAATAAAAGAGGAAATTAAAAGGTTCCTGGAAGTCAATGAAAATGAAAACACAACCTACCGGAACCTATGGGACACAGCAAAGGCAGTCCTGAGAGGAAAGTTTATAGCCATGAGTGCATATATTAAAAAGACTGAAAGATCTCAAATCAATAACCTAGGGGGCTAGTGGAGTGGCTCAAGTGGTAGAGTGCCTAACTAGCAAGTGTGAGGCCCTGAGTTTAATCCCAGTACCACTGAAAAAAAAAAAGAGTGTAGCTTCAAATCAATGACCTAATGATACATCTCAAACTCCTAGAAAAACAAGAACAAGCAAATCCCAAAACAAATAGGAGAGAAATAATAAAAATAAGAGCTGAAATCAATGAAATACAAACCAAAAAAACCATACAAAGAATTCATGAAACAAAAAGTTGGTTCTTTGAAAAAATAAACAAGATTGATAGACCCCTGGCAAACCTGACTAAAATGAGGAGAGAAAAAACCCAAATCAGTAAAATCAGGAATGCAAAAGGGGAGATAACAATAAACACCATGAAAATCCAGGAAATCATCAGAGACTATTTTGAGAACCTATATTTAAATAAATTTGAGAATATTGAAGAAATGGACAGATTTCTAGATACTTATGATCATCCAAAACTGAACCAAGAGGACATTAATCACCTGAATAGATCTATAACACAAAATGAAATTGAAGCAGCAATCAAGAGTCTCCCAAAAAAGAAAAAGTCCAGACTGATGGATTCTCTGCTAAATTCATCAGACCTTTAAAGCAAGAACTGATACCAACCCTCCTTAAAACTGTTCCATAAACAGAAAAGGGAAAGGAAAACTGCCTAACACATTTTATGAAGCCAGTATTACACTTATCCCAAAACTAGTCAAAGACACCTCCAAAAGGGAGAACTATAGGCCAATCTCCTTAATGAACACTGATGCAAAAATCCTCAACAAAATAATGGCAAACCGAATTCAACAACACATCAAAAAGATTGTTCACCACAACCAAGTAGGATTCATCCCAGGTATGCAGGGGTGGTTCAACATACGAAAATCAATAAACGTAATAAACCACATTAACAGAAGCAAAGACAAAAACTACTTGATCATCTCAATAGATGCAGAAAAAGCCTTTGATAAGATCCAACATCATTTCATGATAAAAGCTCTAAGAAAACTAGGAATAGAAGGAAAGTACCTCAACATTATAAAAGCTATATATGACAAACCTACAGCCAGCATTATACTTAATGGAGAAAAACTGAAACCATTCCCTCTAAAATCAGGAACCAGACAAGGATGCCCACTATCTCCACTCCTATTCAACATAGTACTGGAATTCCTAGCCAGAGCAATTAGGCAAGAAGAAGGAATAAAAAGAATACAAATAGGTAAAGAAACTGTAAAAATATCCCTATTTGCAGATGACATGATCCTATATCTTAAAGACCCAAAAAACTCTACTCAGAAGCTCCTAGATACCATCAACAGCTATAGCAAGGTAACAGGATATAAAATGAACATAGAAAAATCATTAGCATTTCTATACACTAACAATGAACAAACTGAGAAAGAATGTATGAAAACAATTCCATTTACAATAGCCTCAAAAAAAAATCAAATACTAAGTGTAAACTTACAAGGATGTGAATGACCTCTACAAGGAAAACTATAAACTTGTGAAGAAAGAGATTGAGGAAGACTTACAAAATGTGGAGAGATCTCCCATGCTCATGATGTAGAATCAACATAGTAAAAAATTCTATACTCCCAAAAGTAATCTACATGTTTAATGCAATTCCCATCAAAATCCCAATGACATTCATCAAAGAGATTGAAAAATCAACTGTTACATTTATTTGGAAACACAAGAGGCCACGAATAGCCAAGGCAATACTCAGTAAAAAGAACAATGCTGAGGTATCACAATACCTGACTTCAAATTATATTTCAAAGCAATAGCAATAACAAACAGCATGGTCTGGCACAAAAACAGACATGAAGACAGTGGAAACAGAATAGAGGACCCGGAATGAAGCACAACAACTATTAACCAACTTGTCTTTGACAAAGGAGCTAAAAATATACAATGGAGAAAAGACAGCCTCTTCAACAAAAACTGCTAGGAAAACTGGTTATCCGTCTGCAAAAAACTGAAACTAGATCCATGTTTATCACCCTATACCAATATTAACTCAAAATGGATCAAGGATCTTAATATCAGACCCCAAACTCTAAGTTGATACAGGAAAGAGTAGGAAATACTTTGGGAACTAATAGGTATAGGCAAGACTTTCTCAATGGAACTCCAACAGCTCAGCAACTAAAGAAGCATAGATAAATGGACTTCATAAAACTAAAAAGCTTCTGTTCAGCAAAAGAAATGGTCTCTAAACTGAAGAGACCACCCATAGAGTGGGAGAAAATATTTGCCAGCTATACATCAGACAAAGGACTGATAACCAGAATATATAGGGAACTCAAAAAACTAAATTCTCCCGAAATTAACAAACCAATAAAGAAATGGGTAAATGAACTAAACAGAACTTTCTCAAAGGAAGAAATTCGCTGAGGCATGGCTCAAATGGTTAGAGCACCTGCCTGCAGTGCAAGGCCCTGAGTTCAAACCCAGAACTGGTTGGGGATTTAGCTCAGTGGAAGAGTGCTTGCCTGCAAGTGTAAGGCCCTGAGTTCGTCCCCAGCACCAGAAAAAAAAAAAAAAGGAAAAAATAAAAAAAAAAAAAAAAGCAAAACAAACCCAGAACTGCCGAAAAAAAAAAAAAAACTCAAAAGAAAGAAATTCAAATGGCCAAAAAACACATGGAAAAATGCTCACCATCTCTAGCAATAAGGAAATGTAATTAAACCACACTAAGATTCACCCTGTTTAGAATGCCTCATTAAACACACCACTAACAACAGGTGTTGGTGAGGATGTGGGGAAAAAGACCCTTTACACTGCTGGTGGGAATGCAAAATAGTACAAACCACTCTGGAAAAAATCTGGAGGTTTCTTAAAAATCTAAACATATAGATCTACCATATGATCCAGAGCAATACCATTCTTTGGATATACCCAAAAAGAATGTGACACAGGTTACTCCAGAGGCACTTGCACACCCATGTTTATTGCAGCACTATTCACAATAGCCAAGTTATGGAAACAGCCAAGATGCCCCACTACTGACGAATGGATTAAGAAAATGTGGTATTTATACACAATGGAATTCTATGCAGCCATGAAGAAGAATGAAATCCTATCTCACAAGTAAATGGATGGAACTGTAAGAACATCTTCTGAGTGAGGTTAGCCTGGCCCAAAAGACCAAAAATTGTATGTTCTCCCTCATATGTGGACATTAGATCAAGGGTAAACACAACAAGGGGATTGGACTCTGATCACACAATAAAGTGAGAGCACACAAGAGAGTTATGAGGATAGGTAAGACACCCAAAAAACTAGACAGCATTTGTTGCCCTCAATGCAGAGAAACTAAAGCAGATACTTTAAAACTACAGAGGCCAATAGGAGAATGGGACCAGGAACTAGAGAAAAGGTTAGATCAAGAAGAATTAACCTAGAAGGTAACACACACGCACAGGAAATCAATGCGAGTCAACTCCCTGTATAGCTATCCTTATCTCAACCAGCAAAAACCCTTGGTCCTTCCTATTATTGCTTATACTCTCTCTTCAACAAGATCAGAGATAAGGACAAAATAGTTTCTGCCTGGTAGTGAGGGGGGTAGGGGAGGAGAGGGAGGCAGGGGGAGGAGAGAATAGGGGAAGGAGGAGCAGGGGGAAGGGGGGAGAAATGGACCAAACAGGAATGCACATATGAATAAAAGAAAAAAAAAGTGCAAGGCCCTGAGTTCAAACCTCAGTACCACCAAAACTAAAACAATATAAAAGCAGAGATGTCATGCCTTTTTTCAGTCTGCTTTACAGTCAACCATCTGATATTTTTTTCTACATAATTTCTTGTGAGTTTATCAGAATCAAAGAAAAAAATAATTTCATTTGCTCCTGTTCATATTTCTTTTCTTTCTTTTTTTTTTTGTGGTCCTAGGGTTTGAACTCATGCTTCATGCTTGCTAGGCAGACCACTGGGTTGAGCCACTCACCAGCTCTTTTATTGTGATGGCCTTTTTTTTCTTTTTTTTTTTTGTGATAGGTTTTTCTCCGGATATGGTCTCGAGCACCATTTGCCCAGGCTGGCTTCGAACCGCGTTCCTACTGATCTGTGCTACCTGAGTAGTTGGAATCCCAGGGTGAGCCAGCAGCGCCCAGCTGACAACAGTTCTTTCTTCAGATAAACTCTCTGACCACACCTTTTAAAGTTGCCTCCTTCTCCCATCCCCCACTTGAGTTTTTCCTCAGTAACATTTATCACCACCTACTATTTTACTTATTGTCTGTCTCAGAGCTCCACATTGGCTTTTTAAAATTTATTCGTGTCTCTTCCATGCCTAAAAGAGCATGCCAAGTAACAGGCACTCAGTATCTATGTGTTGTTTGAATAAATCGATCTGTAAAAAGGGAGGTAATAATACGCTCTAGGGCTGTTATATTAAATGAGACATTTTAAGAGCTTGCAACATAGTTTCTAAGCACATGCTAAATTAATCTTCACTTAGGATCCTTTTGGGTTGTCACAGTCCCGGGAAAAGGTGGAGGCTTGATTGATCCTCTTTCCTCTGCTTGTCCCTGAGGTTCTGATTGTTCAACAATTAACCAAAGTCTGAAAACCAGTTAAGTTCTGGAGGAGTGGCTCAAGTGGTAGAGCACCTCCCTAGCAATCGCAAGGCCCTGAGTTCAAACCCCAGTACCACCAATTTAAAAAAAAAAAAAAGAAGCCAAGCCTAAGTAGTTCTTCAGGACATTTGACCCACAGCTTTCTATCCTTCCTCCCCTAGCAGCCAACTTTTTCCGCCACCAAACCCCGCGGATCAACGCCTCATTAGAGGTAGCAGGGGCGGAAGTGGGGCGGGTAACTTCCGGATCTGCGCAGGCGCGCTCGGTCGTAGCTCCCTCGCATATCGCGATACACGAGCGAGATCGACGCTGGCCCTTTAACAGTTCCTTCCCGGGGGCCTGTCCCGCGCGTGCGCACTGCGGTTCTGCGCTTGTCATCATGGCGACGCGGGGCCATGTGCAGGACCCTAACGACAGGCGCCTCCGGCCCATTTACGGTGAGTGCCTAGGGCCAGCTTGGTCGCTAGCCCGACACGCCGAGGCCTGGCCAGCCGGGGGCGGAGGCCCAGGAGGGGCGCTGAGGCGGCGCGCGCGGGGCGTGCGGGCGAGGGGGCGGGCCGCGCGGGCTTCTAGGCCGCCACCCGCGGCCTCGCGTAGGCGCCGGCCTGGCCTCCTGGCGCCGAGGTGGGAGCGGGCGCTCGGAGAGCGGCGGCCGGTCTGCCAAGCCGGTCTTGACAGGCAGGCCCTGGGCGACGCGCGTATTCCGCCAGGCACCACGCTGCCGTCGGGCTGCGTAGCTAACGGCCGCTCGGAGGGAGAGACAGGTCTTTTCCTGCAGGTGGAGACCGGCTACCCGAGAGGAAATTCCCGACTAAAGACTTTTTTTTTCTCTTGTGTTACGGGAATTGAGCCTAGGAGGTTGTGTGGTTAGATGGCTTCTGGTGCACTTGGAGAAATTGAGGTGCAGAGAAGGGATGGGGAGGACGCAAGGTCACCCAGAGCCCGGAGGCCCGCGATCCCAGGCTCCCCATCAGGGCTGTTTGGTGGAGAAACAGCTGCTCGGGGCGCACGTGGGAGGCGGGGGGAGGGGTCCCGGCCCAAAATAGCGAAGAAGACACTGTAGCACTCGCACCCCTGGGGCGTGCGGGGCGGCTGCGGGGCTTGGCCTTGATGCAGCTTGCCTGCCCGCCTGCCTTCCAGGCTAGGTCGATCCCTTTCCACCAGTGCTTAACTTGCCTCAGCCTGCACGTTTTAAGATGAACCTTGATGTCATCCTACTTCCCTGGGAGTGACAGGTGACACGGCTGAGTTTGAGAGAAGCACCTTTTCCATAACTGAGATGCTCTGTCCTTACACAGTGGGTTCTTTGCATTTCCTTTTCCTCTTACTTAGATGTCTGTTTCAGTAAATGGTGAGGAAGCGTCAAGGTCAAGTGGTTTTGGCAATTGTAGCCTCACTAACCCTGTAAGGAGGATGATAATAGCGAAGGTGTATAAACACTCTTGTCAGTCACTGTCCTTTGACCTTTTTTTAAATCTCATTTAATCTTTACATATTCTCTAGGGGAAGATGTTCTTCCTCTTCCACCCCCCCCCCTTTTTTTTTTTTAATTACAGATAAGGAAACTGAAACTTTACTGATGTGTGATTTGTCTACGTTCAGCTTGTACTTCTTGGAGCTGGGACTTGAACTGCACACTCACTCTCTGAACCTCTGCCAGAAATCCCCTCACTAGTTGCATGCACTGACTTCTGTGAGGGGACACAGATAGGATTCTGATTTCCATCACCCGGACACAGCATATTTGTATGCCCTTGCCCTCCAATGTAAATTTTCACAGGGCATAGATGATAAACAGAATGGGTGATGAAATGGAAGAACTGAATTCAGAGTTCACAGTTTGTGAGTCATAGCTTTGTGAAGTGGCTGCCTGCAGACTTTTTTTTTTTTTAATAAGACTCAATACTTTTAAGAAAAATTGGATTCTTAAAATTGTTTTTGAGGCCTAAAGAGAATTCCTTTGGTCCCATATTAGTTTAGAATTAATGGTGTTTTGAATTATCCAATTAAAAAAATACCATTTCACACTGCTAAACACATTAACTAGAAGTGACATGTCATGGTCTCAAAACCGAAGTCAGAATTATGTTCTCTTCTACATGGGAAGAGGATTAGAAGAGCCTTCTTCAGGAATCCTGAGGTAATTAATATAAACTGGTAGGAATAAGAAAAGAAAGGGTACACACTGTCTTTGACCAATGCAGTTTTGACTTTTGAACTACAGATTTGTTGTTTAAACACATTAGTACTCCCAAATAACTACTAATCCTTGCATCCAGACATTCACTAATTGAGTGAATGAGTAAGCTCAAAAGTTCAATAACTTCATGAATCCAGTGCTTACTTGGGCTGACTGCCGCATTAGTTAGGTAAGATTATTTTGCTCATGGCAGGAAACCGAATGCCAGAGAGATTAGCTAGTGAATTGTAGAGCTGGGATTGAACAGGGTATTCTCCTGTGGAGCCCAGGCCTTCACCAAGCTCAGCTCAGCAGCACCCCTGTTTTTGTACTGGTGCTGTCAAGGCTTTAGGATTTTACAGTTGTATTTAGAAGCCTGGGACCTCAGCTCTTCCTGGATAGTGTTTCGCTGTGAAATTGTAATAAGTAGAAAATCTGTTTGTGTCTAGAGTTGTAATAGCCTCTTTTTTTCTTTCTCCTTTTTGAGACAAGGTCTCACTATGTATCCTATGCTGGCCTTGAACTCTCTATGTAGCCTAGGCTGGCCTGGAACTCTTAATCCTCCTCCCTTAGTTTCCTGAGTGCTGGGGTTACAGGCATGCACCACCAACCTTAGCTTCTTGAAATTAGTCTCTTTTGCTAGCTATAGTAGTTTTCGCCAGATTTTGTACTCTCGTGTGTACATGAGATGAGCTTCAGTGGTTGCTTATGTCATTGTTATTAGCTTAAAAAATGTTTTTAGTGATTATGGAGGAGGGAAGGGGAAGGATGGAAATAATAAATGTTTGATTCTGTTTCATTAAGGAATTCTCCCATTCCCTACACTAAAAAGTGGAAGTGGAAGTGGTGGTCAGGTATGACACTTGATATATTTGTATGGAATATGAGAATTGCTAGGTCAGCAAATTGCACAATAGAAATAGAGAAGTTTCAAAATAGAAAAAAGTTCCCATAGTCTTTACAATCCTTTGTTCTAACCTCCAGTCTCCTGTTGTACCTCCAGTCTCCCATTCATTATTCTTTTTTTTTTTTTTTGTAATTTTTTTTTTTTTTGTTACCATTCATTATTCTGGATGATTCCCAGCAGTGTCTACCTATTGACAGTCACTTCTTGGGTGTGTTAAGACATTTTCCTTAGGTGCCTGGTCAGATGCCAGCTCTGGTAATTATTCTGCTGTTCTCATTAATAAAAACTCCCAGGTCCTTAATCAAAGGTGGCATTTATTCTGATCCTCCTGTTGTATAGTATTAATTTATTCTGAGCCTTCTGTTGTCCTGTGTTAGCTTTATGAGTTTTGTTCCATTTTTCCCTAGAAAGTACATGCTGTTATGGTAAGTGAGGACTATTTGAATTTCTGTAGAAGTTACATGATACAACCTGTTTTCTTCTGTTTGGAAAGTATAACTATTTAAAAAGCTATGCCTAGTTGGAAGTGTAGCTTAGTGGTAGAGCACTTGCAAGGTCCTGGGTTTTTCTCCCAGCACTGGGGGAAAAAAGGACTTTTTTCTTTTCTTTCTTTTTTTTTTTTTTTTGCGGTACTGGGGTTTGACTCAGGCCTTAAGCTTGCTAGATAGGCACTCTCCCACTTGAGCCAGTCCACCAGCCCTTTCTTGTCTTGGGTTTTTTTGAGTTAGGATCTCTCAAACTGTTTGCCTGGTTGGCTTTGAACTGTGATCCTCCTGATGTCTACCTCCTGAGTAACTAGGCTTACAAGTGTGAGCCACCGGTGCCTGGCCCAAAAGGGAAAATTTTATTTATTTTAATTTTATTTTGTAATTTTTACATTTATTTACATGTGTATGCATTATTTGGGCCTCCTCCCCCCCACCCCCCCCCAAAAAAAGGGAAAATTTTAATGCACAAAAAATTATTGGAAGAATAGAGTAGTGGGTAGTAGAAGCACGGGGTTACTGCTTCAGGTAACCTTCAGGGGTTCAGGTGTCTTATTAGATAACTTTTTCTTTTTTTTTACCATGACATGTTACTTTTGTAATGCTCGGCACTGGTTGCCCACGCCTGTAATTCTAGCTACTTGGGAGACTGAGATCAGTAGGATTGGGATTCATGGCCAGCCTGGGCAAATAGTTCAAGGGACCCCACCTCCAAAATACCCAGAACAAAGTGGGTTGGAGGCGTGGTTCAAGCTATAGAGTGCCTGCTTTATAAGCTTGGAGCCCTGAGTTCAAACCTCCAGTCCCACGCATACACAAAAATTAGTTGAAAATATTCTGAAGACTCTACTTACTAGCTGAAAATCATGAGTAGTCATTGGTTTATTGAATTTCTTATTGTATCTTTTTTTTATCCCCCAGAGGGTCTATGTAGCCCAGGCTGATCTAGAATTTGCTGTGTAGCCCAGGCTAGGCTGGGACTGTATCTTCCTGTTTCTGTTATTACAGACATGCTCCACCATGACTGGCTACTTTGTATCATCCCTGTAGTTGTGTTTTTCTTTTTCCTTTGTTTTTGGTGCTGAAACCCCTGTGATTCCTCAGCCACTTTGTATCATCATTTATTTTATCTTGATAGACTATCCTTGTTTTTTCTTGTAACTTTTGTGCATTTGTGCATTCCTTCTTTTCAAGGGCTTAATATTAATATGTTAGACATAATGAGGATGAAAGGAATGAGGATTGAATAGCACTGACAAGGTTTCTGCTTTCAAGGAACTCAGTCCTCCTCAAAAGGTTTTTTTTTTCAATGCTGGAGATCAAACTCAGGATCTTACGCATGCTACCCATGCCACCAAAAAAACAAAACAAAAAACTTCTGGGTGAAGAACTATCTGCAAAGACAAGCAGAAAATCTGCATGGGGAAAATAGTATAGAAGGGGACAGGTGTAGGACAGGGCAATCAAGACATTTCATTTTTCATTTGCTTTTTTAAACTTGTCCCCTTCCCTTCATTTAGTTTTTTTTTTTTTTTTTTTTTTTTTTTTTTGTGGCACTGGGGTTTGAGCTCAGACCTCATATTTGCTAGACAGTGCTGGTACCACTTGAGCCACTCCACCAACATTTAGAATTTCAGGGTAAGGAATGGGTAGCTTAAAGATGAACTGTCTTGCATTAGTGTTTTCTAAATTGGAGCGTTGTAGTCTTTGTGGTTTTGTAGGATGGACAGATAGTGCAGGTTGTCATCTTAGCTGCTGGAGACCTTGATGACAGCTGTGAGAATAGGCAAACTTAAAAGGCTTTTTTTTTTTTTTTTTTTGGTACTGGGCTTGAACTCAGGGCCTTCACCTTGAGGCACTTCACAGCCCTTTTTTGTGAAGGTTTTTCAAGGTAGGGTCTCTTGGAATTCTTTGCCTGAGCAGGCTTCAAAACTGAGATCCTCCTGATCTTCTGCCTCCTGAGTAGCAGGATTACAGGCGTGAGCCACTGGTGCCCAGCAAGTCTTTCGTTTTTACTTGCCAGACTCAGTGAGGCCTTTCCTCCTGCCCGAGTCACTGAGTATGATTGGAGAGGTAGTGATAATTCCATCACCATTAATGGAAAATTGTATCATTTGCTCTAAAAAAGAAAAACTATAAAAATAAAATTGAAATGGAAACAAAATGTTACTAAAGTCTTAGATTCTAGTACTTGTTGAAATTCTGAGACCTGCTTATTCCTTGTTTAGCAAAAAAAGAATTAGCACTGGGTGTGGTGGCCCATATGTAATCTCAGCTCCTCAGGAGGTGGGATCAAAGTT